AAAAAAAAAAAAAAAGAGGGGAAAGATGAGGTGCCCACCCTCTACCCATCAAGTGAATAAAGAGTCCATCCCATTCAGGCCTGTAGTGGTTTATAAACATGTCTGCAAATTCTTTGATACTTCTCCCATTTAAAGGTAGAGTCTGATTCCACTCCCTCGGTAACTCACTTTTAATAAATAGAATACAGCGGAAATGATGCTGTATGACTTCTGAGATGAGGCCATAAAACACGATACAGCTTCCACATGACTTTCCCTTGGGACACTCACCCTTAGAACTGTTTGAAGAAGCCCAAGCTATATGTAGAGGCTCCATGTATGTGTTCTGGCCAACAGTCCAGCTAAGGCTCAGCTGACAGCAAGCGTCAACTTGAGTGGAGCCAGCCCCCAGATGGATCCAGCCCCCAGCTTTCAAGCCACCCCAACAGAGGCCAAGTGAAGCAGAGGTGAATCATTTTTGCTGAGCCTTACACAGATTACAAATTCAAGAGCAAAATAAATGTTGTCATTGTCTTAAACCAGTTTTGGGGTGGTTTGTTACATGGTAATAAGTAAGTAGGATAAGTTTCCATTTATCATTTCAGACAGACTCAGGAACTATAAGCTAGATCAGGAACTGAGACTGATCAGACTTTGTAAGGTTCTAGAAACTTTATTTACTCTCTCTTCCCTGGAGAAATTAGCAGTTAAACTCTAAATCAAGAAGACTTGGCAAAGAAGAGATGTGGAGAAGAATCTTGGGGGTGACAAATGGGTGATGAGTCACTGTGGTGACCAAAGGGAGCAAGGGGCAACTTGTGTGTGTGATGGGACCCCTGTGGGGCTCAGCGACAGAAAGGCTTGCCAGGACTGCCCAACTTCCCCCTCACTAAAATAATAAAAAAGAGCATCTCTCCTTCCTCCTGTCTGAAGAACAGTCCTCCCTCCTCAATATTTTTAAGGCAAAGCTCTTTTCCTATGCTGCTTAAAACATCATTCATGCCATGTCATTCTGTCCCTTCCATGGCTGTCCATGCAGCTTAGGATAAAACAATTCTCCTTTTTCTTATCCCTGCCAAGGCCCTGCCTATCCCACCAACCTCCCTCCTGCCCACTAAATTCCAGCTAGTCCGTTTTCCACCTCGGGGCCTTTGCACAGGCCATTCTTTTTCCTTCTCCAAATTTGGCACATGCTAGTTCCTTCTCACCCTACTGGTCTCACCTGCTCAGAGAGGCAGGTGTAACTGTGTTGTGTAACTACCCCCACCGACAGTTGCTCCCAGCATGTTAATCACTATATTCATGTGCTGTTTCCTGTGAACTCTTATCATTCTCATTTTATTTATCTGTATAAAGTTTCTTATCTGTCAGTTCCAGGAAAATGAATCTTACCTGTTTGCTGCTCCCTTGTCTCCCCGGTGCTGGGCATATTGTAGGTGCTCATTAAATGCTTAGTGAATGAGTGGAAGTGCTCTTGGTCCCATACTTGCCCTCTCTGAGTTATCAATTCTCCTCTCCTTCCTGACCTTCTCTACTTATTCTTCTCTTCTGTCTCTGAAGATATTCCTTCTTTCCTATCTTGACCCTCAAGTTACCCCCCCTCCCATCAGTCCCCCATGTCCTTACCCCCACTTGTTCTACCAAGGTAGCTTCTGTCCTTTTTCTCCATAGGACAGTGCTCTTGAAGGCCATCAGGGATCTCCTCCTCATCAAAGCTAATGTCTTCTTCTCATCATTTTATTTAACGTTGCTGTAGAATGTGGTACTGTCAATCATCTCCCCTCTTGTCTCTTAGACATTCTTTCTTCCCTTGACCATTGCAGCGGTCAATAGAAGCCATTGCATTAACTACAAAGCTGATGGAGCTGAAGTGAGACACATAGGGATTGAATCCTGGCTTTGACACAGAATGAACTGCGCAGCCCTGGCCAAGTTCCTTACCCTCTCTGAGCCTCAGCACCCACATCTTCGAATGGAGTACATAATTCTGACTTTGATTAGTTTACTTTAAAATGTCTTTGATCAGAAGATAATCTCAAGTTAACTGTGAAGCATGGCTGATAAAAGCCAGATCCTGGCAGGGTCCACAGCTCGGCCACCACACCTGTGCAGCAATGTGACCCTGGGCCAGTTGCGTGACGTCTCTGAGCCTCAGTTTCCTCCTCAATGAAACAGGAACTATGAGAGCACCTCCCTCATAGGTTGTTGTGAAGATTAGACAAGATAACCTGCCAAGCATTCAATGCAGCATCTGGCTCACGACAACCCCTCAATAGATGTTAGCTATCATTATCTTATGCAATTTTTTTTTAAATTGCAAAATCGGGGACACTTGTTGGAAGGAAACCGAGATTTCTCCCAAATTCCAATAAAGAGTTGAACAACCACACCTTGGGAAGGGCAATTTCAGGAACCTCACCAGAGGGAGTCTTTGTAGAACATCTCATTTGAGCTATGCCTATCCTTTGTTATGACTCGAAGCTGTTGCTGAAAAATGTTCAGGCTCTGTGGCTGTGAGCTCAAAATTCTGAATTGCAGGCAGAGAGGATTTCATTGGCCCAGAAAGGACCAGATCTCCATCCTTGACAAGGCAGCTGTGGACAGGGGCAGGGGTCATGGTCACCCAGCGGAGACACAGCCCTGGAGGGAAAGGGCAGGGGCTTTTCTGAGCAAAGAGACATCCAATACTGATCAGAATTACCTGAGATAATGTTTATGAAAGTACCCTGCACCCAGCAGGATGTCCTTCCCCCTCTCTGACCATCCATGACCCACTTTGCTGCTCCCCTCTTCCAATCCCTACAACCTCCTAAAGGTGGGCACTCCTGCCTTTAATTCTAAATTCCATCCTCTTCTCCCCCTGATTCTCTCCCTTGGCAAACTCATCTATTCCTAGCACTTCAAGGACCACCTCTCTTCTGACAACTCTTTCATGCTGAGTCTTATTAGGTGCAGATAAATTACTTTCTCTCCTGGGTCCGCAGCAACTTCCTCTGTAAAATGACTCCATCTGTTGCCTCATCTATAAAACAAAACCCTTTTTAGTTCCAACATTCCATAGTTCTATTAACTGTTCCTCGATCATGCCTTCAGCTTTCCTGCCTCTGCCTTTCTGCACACTGTTCCCCCCCTTTTTTTTTTAACGATTTTATTTATTTGACAGAGAGAACACAAGCAGAGGGAGAGAGGGAGAAGCAGGCTTCCTGCTGAGCAAGGAGCCCGATGTGGGACTCAATCCCAGGACCCTGGGATCATGACCTGAGCTGAAGGCAGACGCTTAGTGACTGAGCCACCCACTCTTTTATTCTCTTCTCTCTTACTCACTTCTAACCCTTTTCAAAACTGCTCTGGCAACTCTCCCTTCAACTCCCCCAAAGGAAAAATTCTCCTCCTTCCACACCCAGCCCCTCTTTAGGAAAAATCTGGGCTGACAATGATAGGATTTGCTTTTGCAGGTGCTGTGGGCAGGGAGGGAAAAATACTGAACACTTCGGTGCCTGCAGGGGCCCTGGTTGCAGATGGAGTCTCCTGGGAAGAGAGAAGTGGGGGCAGAGTCCAATCTCCAAATGAGTGACCTGAGTCCCCAGTCAGGCCTACATTGATTTGGAGGGAGTGGGATGGGGGCTCAAGGTGTGTGTGTGTGCGTGTGTGTGTATATGTGTGTGTGTGAGAAAGCTGTCCTCAGCCTAAGGGTTTCTCCAGCTAATAGGGGACCCCCTGGGTTCCTGGCATCCGGGGGCAGTCACCGGTCCCTACCTCTGCTGCTGCCACCCAGTGCAGGAATAAGACATGGTCCTAAGACCTGGGCCAGGCTGCTTTGGAGGCACTCTTGTGAGAGGAGGGTATGGAGGATGTGATGCTGGCCAAATTCCTGCCTTTGCAGTCCTGTATGTGGGGACCCCCACCCCGCTTGCTACGGTGCACTCGGCCTCACCATGTGACCCCAGGTGTTCCTGGGGTGTTCCTCTCCTAGTTTCATTGAAGCCCTCACTCCATCCCTAATGCAGCCCAGTGGCCATCCATCCTCCCCGTCCTCGAAGGCGTGGGGCTGGGCAGGCGGAGAGGGACCTTTTCCATTTCATTTGGTCCGCCTGCAGGTGAGTACTTGGTGCCTTCTCTAAGTGGCAAGCCCTCGGAACACAGGCAGATGAGCGAGAAGCATCACCCGGTTCTGGATCTGGCCATACAGTTCAGAAAGCACACCCACTACCTCCCCCTCTTCTTTTGTCCCAACATCCCTGAGAGGACCCAGAAGGGGAATCTGTTGTTTGCAAAGGAGAAAAATGACAGCTATAGGTTCAGTTGACATCGTGGACTACAAGTCATTTCTTAGGCACAGGACAAAACCATAACTGGCCCCCAGCACCAGAGCCAACCCCCAGATCTACCATCTGTCTGCAGGGGCCCGGTCCTGACATATGTAGTGGCCCGAACAGGTCCCACCAGGCTGCAATCTTGCCGGACGCCAGACCCTCCGAACTAGGGCTGGAGACTGGCGCCCCCTGGTGGCACAATGCAGCCTCTGCGGCCTCACCTCCTTTGTTTTGCAAAGTGGACACCAAGCCCAGGGCTTGGCGGGACAGCCCGACCTCCATATTTGTTTTTGGGATGTAAGCTGTTGTCTGGTGAAGCATTATTGTTCTTCTTGTTACCGGAAACCAGAATTGAGTGGAACAAGGCAGAACAGACATTTACTGAGACTTTATCCTCACTACCTGGAGGAAAATCAAAGCTCAGAGAGGCTAACGGAATTATTTTCCAGGGTCCCACAGAGCCAGTGGCAAAGCCAGGATTTGGACCTTTAAGCCCGCTATGCTAGATCCCTGGGGTAACACCTCCAGCCATCACACCCTCTACGACTCCCCCCATAACACACACACTTTTAGTGTCTTGATCTGGGACAGTAGAACCTCAGCGGTAAAAGGTCTTGCACTCCCTACTCAGGCTTCAGTGTGTCATTCAGACACAGCCAGTTACTGCTCCTTGGCCTGAGCTGCGGAGGGGGCTGGGGGTGGAGGAAGGGCCGCGGAGCTGGGCAGACTCGGAGGCTCCTGGGGGTGGAGGTGAGGGGGCACTATTGGGATGGTGGGCTTGGGATTTCAAGCCAGAACTTGAGTCCTAGGTGGCTGTGTGGTTTTGGGCAAGGCTCTTCACCTCTGTGAGCCTCACGTTGCTCAGCCAAAATATGGGAAATTATAGCAATACTTTGACAGCCCCGCTTAGGAAAAAAGAGTCCAGATTTTGGAATTAGACTTTTGTTTAACTCTGGATTTCCCACTGACTAGTTATGTGGTCTGAGGCTAGTTACTTAAAGTCTCTGAGTTAGTTTCTGAATCTGTAAGATGGGTCGTTGCAGGGACTCGGTGAGGTGATTGAGCTAGGAGCACATTGGAAAGTTCAAGGCTTTATGATGCTGGTTGATCACTGCCTTGGAAAGGAACTCCGGGAAATGGCTCTGGCACCCACTCCCCCCGACTCCAATACTCCTGACCCCAGGCACATGGGTTCTCATTCTGTACCCCATACACCAGCCAGGTCTCTCCCTGCCTGGGTCCCCACTCCCTTCCACATTGTCTAGTTACCTAAGGCATCTCTCCCCCAACTTCCCTGTTCCCACTTTGTCCTAGTCACACCTGGAAAGGAAGTCCTGAGTCCTCATCCTGGGATCTTGGAGCCCCAGCCTCTATCTTATGCCTGGAGGGAATTCGTGGGAGGCAGGAGGGGCTGTTCTGAGGCCTGGGACCAGAACCTTTCAGTCATCCTGAGGTCCTAGGACCCCCCATTCTTCTTGAACCAAGCCTGCTCTGGTGCCCAAAGGCAGATGGCGTCCCACAGGAGACCTGGAGGCCCACTTTTACCTGTTATACTGCGGCCCTGTCCCCCTCCTGGCCCTGGCCCCAGGGCTGGTGCTGCGTGTACCAGGGAGACGGTGGGAGGAGGGGGTGAGGGCTGGGGAGTGAGAGAGGCTGACAGGAGGCGGGGACTCTGGGGGGCTGAGGACTATAAAGGGGCACAGGGGAGGGTAGGGACATCCGGCTCTCAGGACTCAGGGTAAGTGGTCCCAGTCTGGGGGGAGGGGAAGGGGAAGGCCGGGCCCTGGGGGGGTCCTTGGGACTAGGGGCCTGGGGTGGGAGAAGGAGCTTTGCAGAACAGAGAGGTGGTATTGGGAGGTCTGGGGTCCTGCTTGGGTCTAGCTCCACATCTGGATGAATCTCTCACCCTGGAAGAGCAGTCTGCTGACTAGAAGACTGAAAACGTGTGGGGGGAGTGAGTGGTGGCCGTGCACACAAATGTGACCGCAGCCTTGTGAGCGACAGGGTCCGAGGGTGCGACCGTGCTTCTCGGCTGGGAGCGACACGGGCAACATTGTCATCTCCAGGACCTGTCCCTGAATGTCTACCCTGGCAGAGGGCAGCGGGGGGGCGGCAGACCCAGGGGCCCTGGATTTCTGTCCTTCGGTTCACAAGTTCATTCTGTGCGCTCCCACCCAGTCGGTGAGCTGGAGCACCTCTTCGTCCCACCCCGCATCTGCCTCCTCAGAGCCACCAGGCCCTGGATGCCATGAGTCCTGGGTCCCCTGCCCCAGGTCCCCACCTTCTCTGCTATGCTTTTTGACTTTGCCGAGGGCCTGGCTGCAGACTGGGGCTGCCGACCGCACTCTCCGGGGCGGGCAGGTCCGAGGGGCCCTTCGCTCTGCCCCTTCGTCCCCAGGCTTGGAGAAATGGGTGAGGGGCTAAGGAGCTGGGCGGGTGGGCTCCGTTCTGCCTCTAACTTCCCCACGCCTTGCTCCTCAGATGCCCGCCGCCCGCCACTTCCTCTCCCTGCTGCTCCTGCCCACCTGCGTGGCTCTGTGGCTGCCGCCGCCGCGGGGGGCCCGGGGGGCCCCCCTGGAGCCAGTGTACCCGGGGGACAATGCCACGCCAGAGCAGCTGGCCCAGTACGCGGCTGAGCTCCGCAGATACATCAACATGCTGACCAGGCCCAGGTGTGTGCGAGAAAGAGAGAGAGAGAGAGAGAGAGAGAGATCCCAGTCCCCGCGGCCCTGGGCCCCGCCCCCGGCCCCTGCCCCTGCCACGCTCTGGGGAAAGCAGGGCATCTCCACTGACCAGGCCTGCAGCCCCAGGCCCCGGGCAGGGGGTGGGGGGGTGGGTGCCCAGGGTGGGCATGAGGCAGGTGAGCCGGCACGTGGGCACGGTGCTTGTCCCAGCTGCCTCTCCCCTGCCAGGTACGGGAAGAGAGACAGAGAAGAAACGCGGGACATCCTGGAGTGGGGCTCCCCCCGCGCTGCTGCCCCCAGGTGGGTTTGCTTCCCTGCTCTGTGTGCCTAGATCCCTGGGGCTGAAATGGTGCGGGGAGAACAAAGGCCCAGGGCTGGCCCGAGGTCTCCTGAGGGTGGGAGGACTGTCCCCTCCGACTGCCACGTTCTGCCCCCTCCTCACAGGGAGCTCAGCCCGATGGACTTGTAACGCCACCTCCTGCCTCCTTGGACTCCAAGGGCAATGCCGGCCCACCTCCCCCCTCTGCACCCTTGGCAATGGCCGAAGCTTGCTCCCTGCTCCCACGCAGACTAAATAAAGCAAATCCAAGTCAGAGCTTCTCTCTGTATGTGTCTCTGTGGACCCCTGGTCGGGGCAGGAGCGGGCCAAGTGCTCTGGAGAAACAGGAGGAGGGGAGGGAGGCCCAGGAGGGAAAGGAGGGTATTGTCAGGGATCCAGAAGGCCTGCGGGGTGGTCAGAGCCATTCAGCTCATCCTCTGCTTCACAGAGGGGCAGGCCCAAAGGGAGGCAGGGACTCCTCCAAGGCCATTTAGCAAGTGAGTGAGGCTTGAATCTTCCTATTTCAGCACTTCTAAACCTTCCTGGTCAATAGCCTGATGACAACCGTGCCCCCAAACGCACCCCCACCAATGTTTTTCAACACGTAGGCACTAGGTGAAGTACGGATGTATACTAAAGTGTCCTGGGCACAGGGCCAGAGGCAACGACCCAGCCCGGAGGAGTGACTGTGTCAAGTCACCAGCTGCCCTCCTCTGGCAGGTCGGAGATGGGTCACTATGTGTGTTCAGTAGGAGCACAGCTCATCAGGGGGCACGGGGCCCAGCAGAAGCACGGCCAGCGCAGGGGGACTGTGATGGGGAGGGGCCTGGAGACGGTGTCCTGTGCAGACTACTGGGAAAAGGAGACTGTGTGCCGGGGCGTGCAAGCCTCTCAACAACCCAGTGAGGGAGATACTGTTCTCCTCACTCTACAGAGGCCAAGGCCGAGGCTCAGCAAGCTGCGGCAGCTTCTCCCAGGTCCGGCACAGACAGCAGGGTAGTCCAGGCACATAGCACCAGCTTCGGAATCAGAGGAACTCGGCTCTGATCCCAAGATCTGCCCCTCTCTGTCTGTGTGTCTGTCTGTCTGCTACAACCTCTCTGAGCCTCAGACTCTTCATCCGTAGAGAAGGATGATAGGGTTGCAGTGAGCAAGACATGAAATAACACGTATGAAACATTGAGCATGTGGGGCACCTGGTGGCGCAGTCGTTTGAGCGTCTGACTCTTGATTCTAGCTCAGGTCGTGATCTCAGGGTCCTGGGATCGGGCTCCGCACTCAGGGGGGAGTCTGCTTGAGAGTCTCTCTCTCTGCTCCTCCCCCTACTCACACACACTCTCTTTAAAATAAAAATAAATAAATCTTTTTTAAAAAACCCCAAACAACCCAGGTGTTTGCAGCCGGAGGGAGTGAAAATGCTGAGAATCCCTTGAACAATTCCTCTTTCAGCAAGCAAACCCATGGATGTGCTATTATGATCTCTGTGTGCACCCATATGCTCTAGGATCGATTTGTTGGAAATTTGAATTCCAACAAATTTTGGAATTTGAAGGGATCGTCATGGCAGGGATGGGTGAGAAGTGAGAGAATTAGAACCTTTCTGGTTCCTGGAAAAGAAACATTGAGCGTGGCCCCTTGACCCAGGTAAATGCTCAGTAAATGGGAGCTTCTCAGGGGCGGACTAGCCCCCGGCCAACCAGCTGTCGCCATGAAGCATGCTAGAAAGAGCAGCAGCGAGAAAACACGGGCTCCACACACGTGACGCTCCACCTGATGGAAGAGGGGTACAGCTAACTCTGTGGGGCTCCAGGACAGGGTTCTGGAAGGCAGGCCTCCCATGACTCCAAGGAAGCATCTTTGAAGAACGAGAAACTTAGAACTGCTCCTGAGAAGTATGAAGTCCCGGGTGTAGGAGCTCCTGGAGCAGCTGCAGGAGGGGGGACCCAAGGGGGAGTTCGGCCTTCTGGCAGGAGGTGGAGTAGCCGGGAGATGCGGCCACCCCTGGAGTCCAATCTGCGGATTCCACACTCCAGCTCTGGGAGGGTGAGGACCCGGATCCTGCCCTAGGGAGGCCCACACGGAGGACAAGTCTCGGTGGGCCCAGGGGCTTTGCCAGGACTTGCCCTTCTTGAGCACCCTGAGTAGGTGGGGATGGGGTAGTGTGTGTGTGTGTGTGTGTGTGTGTGAGAGAGAGAGAGAGAGAGAGAGACAGAGAGAGAACGGGAGGGAGTGAACATGTCTCTTGCCCGTTTTCCCGGGGCTGGGAGCACCTGTGGATAAGGGATCGTCATGGCAGGGATGGGTGAGAAGTGAGAGAATTAGAACCTTTCTGGCTCCTGGAATGGCTTCTCCGGCCTCCCCCATGTGCTCCGCCTGAAAAGACGGGGCTGTGGGTTTGATGGATGAGAGGCTCCCCTTTCCTGGACTCAGCACCTCACCCTGATCCCAGGACAAAGACAATCGTGTTTCTCCTCAAGCCCTGGCTAGTCTGGAGTGTGCAAATGACCCGAAAGTGGATCCAGGCCCTAAAAGGCACAGGGCTGGAGAGGATGCAGCCACCAGGCAAATGCTTGGCTCAGGATGATTCTCACACCCAAGGGAGTGGCGGGGGGGAGAGGGGCGGGATGCGGTTTCAGCAGAACAAAGTTTGAGTTTGGATGATGGAGGCGGAGGCTGAAGCCCCAGAATTTTCTCTGGCAGCCAAGGTGATAGGCTCTGAGTAGGGAGAGAGGTAGACACTTCCCAGGGGCAGGAATTAGGATCCTGCTCAGGACATACTGGTATGTGAGAGGTGGCTCGTGAGAGGTGCCTCTGAAGCTGAGAGCCTCTGCCCCTGCCCCCTGCCCAGGCCTTCTGATGGTCACCCCACCGAAGGAGAGTGCCACCCTCCCACCCAGCTTCTCAGGGACAGGCCCCGCTGGCTCATTGCCAGTCAGGCTGAGAGGGTCCTGGAGGCCCAGGCAGGACTTCCTCACCTTGAGGGGCAGGCAGAAGCCCTGCTGCTCGTTCCCGGGCCAACACGGGACATCCGGGGCTAGCATCAAAGCTGCCCTGCTCTGTGGAGACACTTGTGTGGGAGGGGATCCTGGATGGAGCCCCCTCCTTTGAGGTTGCTGGGACCTGCTCCTCTCGCCTCTGCTGGCCCTCTGGTTAGAGGCCCCCCCACCAAGTGGTGAACGTGTGTAAGTGGGGGGCAGGTGCATGGGTGGCAGGGAGGAGGCAGGACAGACCTGCAGGAGAGGTCTTCTCTCACAGTAGGAACTCCGGGGTCCTCTCTCCCCTTGAAGGACAGGTCCCTTCTTACCTAGGGCCCACAGAAGTCACCAAGCCATAGAGATATTTATCTTTATTGTTCTGGGGGGGAGGGGGAGTGAGGGAGGTGGGCAGATAGGAATTAAGGCTCCTTTGAGGATACAAAGGGGGTCGGTGGGCCAGGAGACTTGAGTCAGGCATCTGAGGTGTGGGCCCTGCCTGGAGAAGGAAGTCCCTGGGGCCCTGGTATCCCCCCCCTTCCCCCAGGGCTTCCTCTCGTTCCAGCCCAAGCTGCCCCCAGTTCTGTGGCTCCGGATCGGTGCCAGCTTGCCCAGGCTCTCCTACCTGGGGCCCTGGGAGGACAGCGGCGGTTGGGGTTTCCCAGCGGTCCGCTGGGGGGGGTTCGTAGCATTCCCCGGGAGGGGTTTCACGGTGTTTGCTGGTGCGGTTTTTGTGGTGTTCGCGGCTTTCTTGGGGTTTTTAACGTTTTTAGATTTCTTGGTGTCCTTAGACTTCAAGCTGGGGAACAGGTCTTTGCACAGATCATGGGGTGGCGAGGGCGGTGGGTGGGGTGCCGGGTGATGTCCGTGTCCTCCCGCACCCTCGGCCCGTCCTCCCTCCCTCCGGCTCTCCCCCCACCCCACCCCACCCCACCCCTGCCCACCTGCTGTTGAAGAGCTTCTCTAGGTACTTGTTGAAGTGGGCGAAGTTGGACATCCAGTCGGCCGCCCTGGGCTCGGGGGGCTCCCGCAGTTGCAGCTCCTCCCCCAGCGCAGCCCGGGGCCACAGCCGAAGCGGCACCAGGCACAGCAGGGCCAGTGCGCACGCGCAGCGCAGAGCCGGCGCCTGGGGCGGGGGGAGGGGGCAGACAGAGCCGCGGGGTGTCACGTGACGCCCATCGCTGACGCCGGGCTGGTGGACTCAGCGACGCGTCTGTCTCCGGGACCTCCCCGTGCCTACGCCGAGTGGGGGCGCACATGCGCAGTGATGCCCCCACGCACAAAGAGCCGGGGGAACGGGGCGGTGGGGACGGCCGGGGAGGCGCACCCCCGGCTGGGCCCTCGGGGGCTGCGGGGAGCCCCTGCTCAGCTCCCTGACCTCACCGGCCTCTTCCGCAACCACTTGCTCACCCCGCTCCAGCCTCTCCCGCCTCCTTGCTGTTCCTCAAACATGCCAGACCTGCGGTTCTCTTGCCTGGAAGACTTCCTCCCGACAGGGACGGGCACGGCCAACTTCCTCACCTCCTTCAGGCATCAGCTCAAACCGCACCTCCTCAATGGGTCCTACGCTGACGCCCCTATTCAGAACGGCAGCCCGTCCCTTCATCTTGCACCTTCCCCTTGTGCGTCACCTTCTAACTTACTGTGTTCTCTGCTTTTTAAAAATTGTCCTCTCTCCCACGAGGCACGCCCCTCCTCCCCCGATGGAAGCGGCGTCACAGCTGGCCTCCGCCTCTTCTGCTCACTGATGTAGCGCAAGCACCTGGAACAGCGCCTGACGCTTGGCAGGTGCTCGACACTACGTGTTAAGTGAATGACTAACGCAGCTGCACGCTGGAATGCCAGCCCCGGGGTCCCCACGTGTGCACCCAGCTGTGCACAGGGAACTTGATGCTGGCAACACACAGCACATCCCGAGATTCACACCCTGTGGTGCCTACGCCCGTGAGACGCACCCCTGGGGCCCTCAACCCTCTCTTGACCAGGAAAGCCCCTCACCCCCACCACCCAAAGCAGGCACCGGAAACCCTGGCAGCCGTCCTGGCGGTAGACTGGCAGAGGCTGCTACCCTGGTCTCATTCCTTCATGCCCCTCCGTCCCCTAGCTCCTGGAGAGCATAGCCGCCAGGGGTCCCAGACTCAGCCGCCAGACATTACCATGGTGCTGGGCAGGTGCAGGGCAGCACAGCAGAAGGGTTTCCGGCAAGGACCTCCGAGGCCCTTTATATTCCTTCAGGTCCATGCCCCCTTTCCCACAAAGGCCCCACGCCCAGCTTGGCCTCCTCCTGCCCCGTGTCCTAACCTGGGAGTTGGGAACAGGGAGAAAGTGGGGGTGGAGGCACACGGGCTGCCGGCTGTCCTGATCTGGGCACAGTTCGTGCCAGGGGCCCAGTGGTGGGGGTGGCAGAGGCGGAAAGTACTGGGGAGTCGGGGTCACCTTTTGCCTCAAGTCTACAGATCCCAGGGAGGAACTGTCTCTGCGGTTGAGAGGGGGCTGTGCTTTGCCCAGGGACTGTTCTTGGGGTTGGGAGGGGGCTAGGCTGAGAGATCAGGTGCCCCTTCCCACCCAGCTGGGGGCTCAGCGCCCCTACTCCTGGCTTCCAGGCCTGCCGGCAGGGGCCTGGGTGAGGTTAAGATTTCTGCCTTAGGATTGCAGGCCCTACTGATCATTCTGGAGATTTTCGCGGCCTGCCTAGCTACTTTGGAGACCCTGATGGGAGACCTGCGGAGCTTTCTGGAGTGTGGTGGGTCTCAGCTGCCTGAATGATGAACTCAGGGCTTGGGCTGCTTCAGGTCACAGAGCCTTGGCTGTGTGGCCGTTAGGGCCCCTCGAGCTGCTCAACATTGCTGCTTCTCTGTGGCGAGGCTGTAAAATGTGGAATGAAGCTTTTTCATGCCAATCCCCGCACCCCCAGAAGAGACACAGTAGGAAGAGCAGGGGCTTCTGGGTAGGAATCCTGACTTTACCACTTCCTGGCTGTGTGACCTTGATTAAGGGACATTACCTTCCCTGAGCCTCCGCATCCTCATCTGTGAAACGGAGCTGATCACATCTATAGCCTTAGGGCTGTCGTGAGGATCCAGTGGAATGATGTAGCTGAAGCCCTTGGACAACTTCTGGCACACAGTGATGAACATATGTGAGCCCCTCAACTCAGGGATGCACTCTTCCCCCCCCCCGCATCCTCACTTCTTCCTTAGGGGAAGGGGTGAGAAACTCAATGTCAATGTCACCAAGTTTATGGGATGGCTCAGCAGCCAAGAGAGACAGGACTGCATTTCCACGGAACCAAGACTCTCAAGAAAAAGAAATGAGATTCCCATGATAAAATTCCATAGTACAAGTTGGGAGGAGAGATCTAGGTGTCAGTGTACCCCAAATCCCAACAAACAGGCTGTCTCTTACTCCACTTAGACACAAGCCCAGTGTTGATGACCCCATTCCCGAAAGAGCTCCAACGATGTGTCCTCTTGCAGCCTCGGCTGTGAGGACCCAAGCTGCCCTTACAAACCCCGGGGCTTCTCCACAAGGCCCCAAAGGTTCTCAGTCCCTCACTCTTCTGGACTCACTCACTCATTTCAGGAACTGTCAAGTTCTGAGGGATGGTGTGTATCTACCTGCCTTCCTGGTTCGGAAGATGAGAGTGAGCAGGTTGAGGAAGGAGGCACGAAGCACTCAAATATTATTATCACAATAATAAAATTATCACAATCCCAAGGTACTGTCACAATCATAAAGGCTCTGTGGAGCATATAGTTATATACTAATAACTGACAATTACTGCTGATGCTCAGTGCCAGGTACTGGGAGAAGCATTCTGTTGCAGTGTCTCTGATTTTAATGACACTTGCAGGCATTAACTCCTTTTGCATTTGAGGAAACAGGCTCAGAGAATTTAGGAGACTATCCAAGGCCAGGAGGCATGAGATTCAAGCTCAGGACTGACTCAGATCTGGAGAAGCAGTCCTATCTTCTTGGAAAGCTACCCCCAGTCAGTTACACACCTTTCTGTCCCTTGGGATTCAGGCCATCTGCAGTCCAGAGTCTCCCCTCAATCACCTCCTGGTCCCTTGGCCTGTCAGCTCCTCCCGACTCCAGTGGGGTTGCTTACCATGCTCTGCATCCCCTCCTCACTCCCATTCTTCCTCCATCTTCTTGGCTCTGTTTTTCCCAGGGGCCTTTTTGAGTAAACTCTTCCCTGCTTCTCCAAGCCTGATGGTCAAGACACAGGCGTTGGCATCAGACTGACCAGGGTTCCAAGCTCGACATCACCGCTTGTTGGCTGTGTGTCCTGGACAAGTTGCTTTGCTTCTCTGAGCCCGGTGTCCTCAGCTATGAGGGGAACACTAGAGCTAGGTCATGGGGCTATTGGGAGACAAAGCTGAGAGAAGGTTCCTCAGGCTTCTGGCCCCAAGTCTTCCTTGAACTTTGTGATTCGCCCCAGGACCCTTCAGAGAAATTCTCTCTTTTACTTAATCTGGCTTAAATTGGATTTTTACTTGCTACCAAGCCAGACCAAAGCAAACTGAAAAACCTTTGACTAATAAGCCTTCCATGACTTCCTGGATTAAGTCCAAACTTCCTAGCATGACATTTGAGGTCCTTCACAATTTGACCTCAGCCCACTTAAAAAACAAAAAAACAAACCTTCAAAAACAACTTTGGAGAAGTGTAATTTAAACACAGTAAAAGTCACCCATTTGAAGCGCCCCATTGGAGGAGTTCTGACAAATGTGTAACCACCCCCACAGTCAAGACACAGAACGTTTCCATCCCCTCGGCTAGTTCCCTCCTGCCCCTGTCCAGGTCACCTGGCCCCCGACGGCTGAGCTCATCTCTATAGATTAGTTTTGCCTGTCTTAGACTTCATGTAAATGGCATCAATGTTCTTTCTGTCTGGCTTCTTTCACTCGGCAGAACGTTTTTGACATTCCTCCGTATTGTGAGGCGTATCAGCCATTTGTTTTTCTTATTGCTGAGTAGTACTGTTCCTTCAAGAGGATGTACCACAATCTGTTTACCTCTTCCCCTGTTCTGGATATTTGCATTTCCACCCACTCTCTTCAGCCACATCTCCTGCTCATGGACAGGCTCCTCCCTCGACGCACCTGTCCGACCCTCTACCTGCTAGACTCCAGGGGCCTCCCGAACAGTTCTTTCATACCCCCAGCCTTTGCTTGTGCTCTTCCTTCTATCTGGAACGAGTGTCTTCTACTCCTCCACCCTGCAAAATCGTGGGACTCGGTTCTGGCAATTCTTCTTCTGCGAAGCCTCCCCGGGCCCCTCCCTGCGCTGCCTTGGGCTCCTGGGTTCCTCTCTGCATCCAGTTGCCTGACGGTCCTCACCTGCCTACGCACCAGGCCCATCATCTGATGACGATCCCTTACTTATTCCATCCTTGGCTGTGCATTGGAATCATCTGGAGAACTTTCCAGCTACTGTTGCATGGCTCTGCCCCCAGAGTCTGCATCTTGTAACTGAGCACCCACTTGATGGCAGGTACTGCCTTAGGTTCTGGAGTTCCAGTAGTCGATAAGATATAGTCACTATCTCCAAAGAACTTCACAGGAGTGGGAACAGGTGTTCATTGAATGGACTAATTAATATTTCAAGAAATACCTACCAAGACACCCCTTCTTGGAAATCCCTGTTGGAAAGAAGGTTTTTATCTCCTTTATGAGCAGAGTGGGAAGTTGTCTCCTTGGATACATATTTTGATGGAGTTTGAAGGGAATTCAGGAAGCTAGTTCCAACTCCCAACCTCCCATTTTACAGATGAGAAGACCAAGGCCAAGTAGCCAGGTTTTCTGCACTGGAGGAGGAAGGTAGTCTCTGAAAGCCAAAAATCTCTCCCATAAGGACATTTGGGCTAGCTGCTCTTGAGAGCTGCTAAGCTGTTCTCAAGCCCAGTGTCTGATGCCAAGTTAATAAAAGATTTAGGACACATTAGTAACAGTATTTTAATCAAATCTAGACAAATTCAAGATTACATTAAGCTGTGATGGATAACAGCAAAGGATCAACTAGAAAGATTACAAACTGTTTCTAAATGTTTATTTCTTTTAGTGCTGATAATTTTATGCATTGTCTCAAATTAAGTCAAATTTAAATGTTATTTAAGTTGAGCAGTTTTTGTGAGTTATCATATTTTTGTAGATTGGAGAATAATTTATGGAAAATGAAGCAAGTTTCTCTACTAACAAAAACTGCTAAGCCAAGCTCTGCCATTTGCTTGCTGTGCGATGCTGGGCAAGTCACTGAGCTCCTCTGTCCTTTAGTTTCTTCATTTGTGCAGAAGTGAAAGCTAAAAATAGTACCTATGGAGTGAGGCGCAGCATCGACTGAGGACATACAACCTGGGGTCACATCCCAGCCCCACCACTTCGCAGCGTCATGCCAATGGGCAAATTGCTTAATCTCTCTGTACTCCAGTCTTTTCATCTGTAAAATGGGGTAATAGTACTCAACTGCCTCGGACAGTTGTTATGAGGATCAAAGAAATGTATACAGAAGCTAACACATAGCAACGCTCATGTGGGTGATGGTTAGAGCAGAGCAGCAGCTCCTATTGCAGGAGAAGATTTTGAACTTTGAATAAGCTTTTTGAAAATCAACGAATGTAAATTAAGCAGTGGGGTGAACTAAGCAAATGCCCCAGACACAGTGGGAAGAAAAGATCTCCCCCCATTTCTCCTAACTCCATATCATCCTCCCTCTTCCCCCAGGGAAGAATGTAATGGGGCCCATCTGGCCGGCTGGCTAAGGGAGTGGGAGGCTGGGGCACATCCATGCTGTCAGAGGAGAACTCTGGGGGCAGGCACTCCCATGACAGCTCAGGGCAAGCAGGCTTTGCGCGTCAGTTGTGACCCTGAATGTGGTGACCTCGGAAGAGCAGTGGGCAAGAACGCCGGGAGGCTTTGTGTTTGAGGGTTTGCCGCTGTGTGTCATGGAGCTGTATACCATGATTTCAATTCCTTGAAATTCTACTTTACTGTTAGATTTGCTGAGCTCTCCATGTGAGCCAGGTTTAGGGGAAGGGTGGAGAGAGACAGAAGGAATCAAGAAAAGGACGCTCTTGGGGCACCTGGGCGGCTCAGTCGGTTAAGCATCTGACTCTTGATTTTGGCTCAGGTTGTGATCTCAGGGTCGTGAGATCCAGCCCTGCATCGGGCTTCGAGCCGCGCATGGAGCCTGCTTGAGATTCTCTCTCTCCCTCTCCCTCTGTACCACCCCCCCACACACAGCTTGTGCTCTCTCTCTCTCTTTCTGAAAGGAGGAAAGGAAGGAAGGAAGGAAAAAAGAAAGGAAGGAAGGGAGGAGGGAGGGAGGGAGGGAGGGCAGGAAGGAAGGAGCTCTTTAGAGGGCCAGGAGGCTGGAAAGCAAGTTGACTGGATTCAGGTCTGTGGGCACAGGGAACAGGAGAGGAAGAACAACTGGGAGAATGGGGAGCCCTCCAGGAACCAGTGCCAGTAGGTTGGAAGGAAGGGGAGAACATGTGTGTATATGCGTGCGTGCGTGTATAACAGGGAGGCAACCACCAGAGGAACTCAGGCCCATTCAGGCTGTGAAGTTGGCTGATAGGAGCTCACATCCCAAGACTGTCATTGGGTTGAAGATTCAGTACTGGGGAGAACAGAAGGTCCAAAGAGAACTTCAGGACTCAAGCTCATGCCTGATCTTTGGAGAAAATCCATTTGGACCCTTGAATTATAGCAACTGAGTTTCTGATGCCAGGGGCTCAGGGACTGGGGGGTGCTAAGTGACTCCGGTCAAGCCCTCCTCAAAAGACCTAAGATCCTAGTAAGTAAGAGAGGGAGAAAGTGAGGATAGGAAACAGAGTCGTGGGGGGCTGAGGAGGAGGGGTCAGGAAAGGAGATGGTCAGCATGAGAAGGTCAGCATGAGAAGGGCAGTGAGGGGCCCAGGGAGACTTTCAGGGTCCTCGGGAGGTCTCCTCCTCCGCCTCCTATCCCCAGCCCCAAAACCGCAATGGGGGAAGCAGGTTTGGGCTGCTGGGGAGGGTGCTCAGAATTCCACAGTAGCAGAGACTGGCACTCCCCTAACTCACATATGCACGCGCGTGTGCATACAAACACATACACAGCACACACACACACAGCACACGGACCCACGCAGGCTACACGTGCAGACACGTGTGTGTGCGTAGACACAGCATACAGTTACCCCATTTGTGCATCCACGTAGACACACAGACGATCACAAACCCACTCACGCGCGCATAAACACACCCACGGACATGTCCCTGCGCATACTTCAGGCCCTTCGGGTGTGCCGTCCGCGTGTGCTGTGCATGTCTCCCAGGTGTCCGCCCGCCTGGCTCAGGAAGGCCCAGAGCTCCTGGGGGAACACGGCCACCCACCCGCGCATATCCTTTTGCTGGTCTTTGAGCGGGGCAGGGGATGATGGAGAGGGGCACGCCCAGGGGGTTCCTGCCATAAGCACTCACCATGTCCCCCACTCCCCGCACCTCCAGCACAGACCCTGAGGCCTGCTGCACTGGACCCACACAGTCCCAGTCTGCTTCGGGGGATGGTGAGCCCTCCCACACTCTGTAGCCACGGAGGTGACAGGGCAGCCCTGCCCCCAAGGGCTCTGGCCTGGAGAAGGGCAATGGTGGTGGCGGGAGGCAGAGATGATCGGACTTCTCCCCCTCTCAGGGCCCACCTGTGCTCCCCACGGCAGCACAGAGCAGGCAGCCGGAGATGGAAAAGCCAGAGGCCTTGGAGCCCCTGTGGGAGGGATAGGAGGTCCCCCACTCTGCCCTCAGGCACCTCAGACAGGAGAGGTGCACAGCGTGGGCCCAGGGTGGCTAAAGCCCAATGCATAGGGCAAGAGAAGATTCCGGCCGGGAGGCTTGGAGCTGAGCAGTTGGCACCAAGCAGGGCTGAGGGCGAAAGAGCTTTTGCTGTGTGTGGCAGGGGAGGGGCAGAGAATGGCTCTGGGACTGGGACCTCCCTGCTTTCCTGGGAAGGGGCATGGCCAGGGCCTGCCCTGGGTAACCCTGCTCCCCTGCCATGGCTCACAAAGCACTTTTGTATGGGTCACCCCCTCCTGGCTACGCGGAGTCTGTGAGGTGGATATTACCCAGCCCAGACCAAACGACTTGCCTGAAGTCACCCAGCAAGCTGCCCTAATGCTTTCCATAGCCCCTGTCCCTGTCCCTTCCGTCTCTGCCCCAACCCACTCTACAAGTGCTCCCTTGGCCCAGGGCACAGGGGGTGGGAAGCAGCGCAGGGCGTGTGTGCGTATGTGCGTGCGTGCGTGCGTGCACTCCCGCGCACGCAGCCCTCTTCCAGGTCACCAGTCCTGGTGGGGACGCTCCTCTCTGCTTTCTTTCTGTCTCCAAACAACAACCCGAGTGCCTCACACAGTCCTCAGGGCATGTATTCCCACTGTCTAGAGCCTCCCCCCACTCTCTTCCCTTTGACCCCTCACCCCTGCCCTCTCCAGGTCTACAAGAGGGCTCCGAGGCATCACTGGCTTGTGAGGGTCTCCAGCAATGGATATTGGGTTACTGGGGGGGCTAGCAAGGCTCCCTCTCACTCTTAGGGTCTGCACTGCCTTTTGCAAGCTCATCCCTCTGCTCTGGTGATGGGCTACCTAGGCCTGGCCCCCTTATACGGTGTCCACAGCAAAGCCCTTGGCAACTTGGTGGGAGCAGGGGAGGAAGGAGAGGATAAAAGTGGGTGGCACAGATGGGACCGGGCAAGATGCCACTCATGCTTGTGTGGGCAGCGGGAAGAGGACATACTATCCATACCAGATACCTGTGGAACCAGCAGCCCTGGGATGCGCCCCTGCCTGCCCCAGGAGGACCTGAGGTCAGTTATGGGCACACCAGATATCCAGGGACAGAGACTAAACACCCACTGCCCAGATGGCACCCAGCTAGAGCCTGTTCAACCCGGACCCAAAGGGGCGCTGCATTTATGGAGCACCTTCTGTGTGAGTTGTATTGTGACAGTCACTCTACATGGGTCCTCTCCCTTGGGGGGCGGGGGTTATCCCCATTGTATAGATGAAAAAATTGAGGCTCAGAGAGGTAATGTGACTGCATATATATATGCAGTGAGAGTTTCAAACTTTTTTTTTTTTTTTTTTCCCCATTGAGAGGTACATCCAAGAGAAAAGTTTTCCAGAACAAGACTGGCGAGTTGCAGGGGTCAGGGCGACGTGAGGGTGTAGGCTTGCGATAGCTGTTGGCGGCCCCTGCTGGTCGTTATCGCGAGTGCAACATCACTCTATACCACGCCAGATCTGCTAGAAATTCAGAGCAGCCGCTTTGAGTTTTATTTCTCTCCGTGTCCTGACTCTCAAAGCCCTGCGATGAACATCCACCAGAGGAAAACCCTTGATTTTAGGGGAAGCAGAGACACTGACTGCACCCTTGTGATCTGAGGAGGCAGGAAGGCAGACTGAGCTAATTATAGACCACAGAGGGAGAGGACGCTATCCCCCCGGCCTCCCCCACTCTTCTGCACCCGGGCCCCCCACCCCAAGGGGCAGCTGCTAACTGCCATGGGATGCATTTTGGACCCCTCTAACCTGTTTCCCTTCTCAGCTACTCTATTTCCCGCCAGTAGCACTCTCATTCCTTGGGGCCCACTTACTGCACCTCTGGTAGGACGCTCAACTATACCACCAGAAAGTCCTTTTTGTGTCTGACACCGCCCACCTTCCTTGACCAACACCCTAGACTCGGAGCCAGGCGATCAGGAGCCAATGACTCTGGTATTCGACTTGGTACTACTGAAGCTGGCACCTTGTCTGAAACAAAATAGGAGCATGGTACTCTGCATCAAGAAATTCTTCTTCCCACACCAGAACCTCACTGGGCTGTTGGGAGAATCAAACAATTTATCAACTCTAAGGTCCTGAAAAGATGTGAAGGGCTGGCATTCTGTAAGGCCCTTTTAGAGAGATACTTGATACCCGTCGACTGACAGTTACTGGGGATGTGGGTGGGGAGGCAGTTTGTAAGAATAACGAATTGGATTCCACCTCCCTAGTGGGCCAGAATCTGGGATTCCACCTTGTCTTGGGGATCCTGAATGGGATTGAAGGTTTGCTGTGGGTTGCTGTGGCATAATAGTTGCCTGATTGAGAAGAAGTAATTAATATTTCAGAGGGATTCAAGATCCTTCCACTTCCCAACCAAATGCAATTAGTTGAGTGATTCTCTGCCCAGAGGTGGACAGGTGACAGTGGAGGGTAGCCTTCATAATGGGAAGGGGACTTTTTTTCTGAGTTGAATTAGGAGGATCTTCTGGTTTGAGGGCTGAGGAGAGGGTTGGAAACAGTGTGCTCCCTCAAGCCTCAGGTTGGAAACAGAAACCTGCAATTCCAGTCTCCACCATGTGGGGTCGCTAACTTACTTTCTTCTCCTCCCTCAGTAACGGGGTGGGGGGAGCTCAGAGGCGCCAGGCCTTTCAGCAGAGTTTAGTCTGGTTTTATGGCTTTTCCCTATATCTATATACCCAAATTTATCCCCTCCAGAGCTCAGGGGTGAATTGAGTCTCTTGGGGCCCTGGGGACCAGTCCCCTGCTTCCTGGATGGATTCCCAAGTAAAACCCATTTCTGAGATTTCCAAGCAAGTTTCTAGGACGCAGTCCATTTCCCTCCCTTCCTTTCTTCCTCCCTCCCTTCCTCCCTTCTTTCATTTTATTTCTTTTTTTAGAAAAAGATTTTATTTTGGGGGTGCCTGGCTGTAGAGCATGCTACTCTTGGTCTCGGGGTTGTGTGTTCAAGTCCTCATGTTGGGCCTGGAGCCTATGTAATAATAATAATTAATAATAATAATAAAAAATTTATTTTTAAGTAATCTCTACACCCAAAGTGGGACTCAAACTCACAACCTGGAGATCAAAAGCCATAGGTTTCTCCGACTGAGCCAGCCAGGCGCTGTGGTCCATTTCTGGTCTTAGGAGTCCAGCTAGCAAGAAAGAGGGATGATCTCTGCATATTCTGGAAGACACTTAGAGGGGTTGGGGGACACTGAGGTCAGAGAAGTACCGTGGCTGGCCCCATATGCTGTCTGAGCAGAGGGTGGTCTCCAGGCTGAACCTACAAGTATTCCAAGGCCACACACTATCTTTTACCAGCAGGTCTGGGGTGGAGCTGGAGGCTGGCGAAGGCAGACACCTAACTGGGTTTAACACTTTATTTACTTCTTGAGATGGGACTCTGAAGAAGGATAGCGAGTTACTTCTTTCCGTATTCCGTAAGCAGGGGGTATGGACCAGCTCTCCCATCCAGACTTAAAATAAGATCTCGAATTCCCTCTGGAAGACGTTTCCCCGGTCTTTGCAAATTCTTCCAGAGACTGGGATCCAGCTATCCACCATTCGAGTCCTTCGAAGCTGCCCCTGAGCCCGAGACCCTATGGGGATGGGTCTCCTGCCCCTTGGGGATCTCCCTAAACTCCTCCTGTTCCTTTTCCTAATTGGGAAACAGGATAACGGGAAAAGGTGAGGCACGCCCGGAACTGAACCTCGGCTCTAAGCTGAGAGAAGGGAGCGGAGTAATCTTTCACCATCGCCCTTTTAAGGGATCGCTGGGCGCCGAGGGACGCTAGTAGTGGGTACGGATCCTAGCCCCTGCTTCCCCGAGTGGAAAGCGAGCAGGGGATCTTGGGCTGTGCGGTTTCTCCCAAACCACTACCTCCCCGCCTACCCTCTAGCTGCACGGAAAGACGACTTTCTCCGGCTTTTCGAGCTGCATCCAGATCCCCCTCCCTTCTTCTCCCCTCTCGGTCTCCGCCCCCTCGCGCAGAGGAGGCCTCGCCGCTTTAAGAGCCGGGGTAGAGATTGACAAGCAATAAACGCGGAGCGCGGGGCTGCGCTGGAGCCGCACGGAGCTAGGGGCTGCCCGGGGCGCAGGTAGGCGCCCCCCGACTCCCGGGCCAGCGCCCACCCCAGGGCCCCTTGTTTCCTCTTCGTCCAGGCACAGCCCTATTCTCTGGGTCGGGTCTCCCCCGCCCCCTTCCTTCAGGCCGGTCCCCTCCCTCTCCACCTCCCGCCTCCCTCCTTTCTCGGGGGCTCCTAGGGAGAAATCAAACCCCGCTGCTTCTTCATGCTGGCCCGCGCGGTTAGGGCTCCGGAGTAACATCGGGCACAGAGCTGGTGAGCTGTGCGAGGCTCCGGTATCCGCGAGGCCTCTTCGGGGGCTGTGCGGATTCGGGGGACTTTGGAGCCGGGCATTACGTAAGAACCGCGCTGTTAGCGCTTCCGGGGGGTGGGGGCGCGCGACAGAGGTTGCGTGGGTCCCGGTGCCCCCCCGACCCTCTTGGGAGGCCAACACCTCAACCTTCCCTGGGAGGGGGTCCTGGGAAGGGGGGCGCACTGCTTCTTTCGCCTCCCAGGCTGTGGGGAGGGCGGGTCGGGGTCGGGGGCCAGGGTTAGGGTCTGGAGACCTGAGGGCGGATCGGTGCCAGGAGAGTAGAGCCGGGGTCAAAAAGTTAGGTCAACTATGGGGGGGGGGAGAGTGAGGACGGGGCGGGGGGGCATCCATTCAGTGACCTCATCCCCTGGTCTCCCGCGGGCGCGCTCGCAAAGAGCCTTCTTTGATGGCTCGCAACACGCCCCCCCTTCCCCCAGGTCCTAGCGCCCAGCCAGTTAGGGCCCGGCTCGTGGGGCGGGGGCTATCCGACAGTCCGTGCGTGCAGGTCCGCACGTCTCTAGACGCACCCCCCCCCCATCCCTCAGTCTGTCTACCCCTCCCCACGACCTATCGGTCTTCAAAGCGCCTTTGTCAGACCTTTCTCTTCAACATCTCTTTGTACGTGTATTAATGGAGGGATGGGTGGGTGGGAGGTTGGAGGAAACCTCCCCCTTTCGCGCCTGGTCCGCATCACCTACTGACCCTGGGTGGTGTGGATAGTCTGGAGGTAGGGGTGAGAAGACACCGAGGCCCAGGCGTTTGGAAGCCGAGGTGCGCGTTCCCAGAAGCCTGGGCCCCGGACCTTGGCCCGTAGCCAGGCTGGCTTGCCTGGCACTGCTGTTCTCCTGCGGGCACAAGCCAGGCCCCGCCCTCCCAGAGGACGGGGTGGGGGTGGGGAAGAGCTAGCCGACGCTGTGGGAACTGATTACCCAGAGAAAAACCCAGGCAGGCTGGGCAAGACTCCAGGGGACAGGATCCTCCCTGCCTCTTCTCACCTTCCAGTCTCTAAGGAAGGAGGATGTCTGGAGTCCCCCCTGCCAGTAACTGTCAGGGAGAACAGCAGCAGCCAGGAGAAGGCTCCAGGTTCCAGGTGGTCAGGACCTTGGGTGGGGGAGGAGGGAAGGCATAGGGACAGCAGGGCTTGGCACAGGAGATCTGGGCATTTCTCCCAGCCTGGGTGCTAGCCTGACGGGGGTGCCCTTCTTTCCCCTGAAAACTCCTTTCTTCCACGTCTTTAGGGAAAGACCCAGGAAGAAAGGGAGTCATCCCCCAACCTTTGTAATTTCTGCTACCTGAGCTCAGGTGACCAGCTCTGGCCTGGGGGCGGAAGGGATGGGGCTAGAGAGGGTTTTCTTAAAACCTGGTGATGGTCCCTCTGGGTAGAATCCTTTCTTAGGGGGAGGGGAAGTTGTGGCTCCCTACCCCCGGGGGCCCAGCAGGCGTTCAGTCTTAAAGTGGGCGCTGCCAGCTGCTTCGCTCTTCTCTCCTCACCCCTGCTGTGAGCCACTGCCTCTAGTTGTCATGGCAACTGGGAATTAGGGTTTTCTCCAGCAGTAAGTGCCCCGGAAGGCAAGGGGAAGAAGGGTAGCGGTGCCCCCCTGCACCCTCCCCTGGAGAATAAGGAGCCCCGGGCTTTCCTTGTCCCAGCTCTGCACTAAGAAGGGGCAAAGGGAGAAAGAGGAAGTCAGAGAGGCCTTGGGAAAGTATGACTTCATTTCTGTCAGCCAGACAGACAAATGTTTGTAGAGCATCCACACTGGCTAGGGTTGGGATCCAGAAGCAAAACAGATGTAGTTCTTGACTTCATGGAGCTTACAGTCTGGGAGTGCTCCTCTTTCCTGCTTTTGACTCAAATTCTGGACTCCTACCACCCCCAAAATAAATAAAGGACAAATGGCAGGCAGAAACACATTTTTTTTTTAAAGAGTCATAAAACCTGGGTGTTCAATGTAGCTCTCTTTATTAGCTTCGTGACCTTGGGCAAAGCAATTAACCTCTCTGATCCTCCGATCTCCTCCTCCTGGGAGAAAGGGGCATGTAATATCTGCTCTTCCTGCCTCCCAGGACTGTGGGATCATGCAGTCTCTGGGGAATGCCCTGATCCTGAGGGGAGGCCCTTCCTAATTCCTTCCCCCATTGCTTTGCCATTGTGCTTTCTCATTCTTTTCTCTTCCCTCCTCCAGGAGAGACATTTCAGGGCCCTTGCAGACCTCACCATGCCAGTTGCTGCCACCAACTCTGAGTCTGGTAAGAAGGGGCTGAGGATGTCCGTTTGTATCTGTGGTTCCGGAAGTGCCAGGCAGGGACTTGAGGGGGGAGAACGGCAGCCATCAGGCACTCTGGCAGCCACCTGTAAGAATAACCCTTCCCCCACTGCTGCTCCATCCTGCCACTCAGCCTTTCCTTCAGGCAGCTTCTATGGCCCCCACTGCACCTGCTCCAGGGTGGGGCCAGAGACACAGCTCAACTCATCTCCGTGGAGAGCAGAGGCACACACGCTCCAGAGATGACCCGCAGTATTGCCAGAGGGCAATGGCCTGGGGCCAGGCTGCTTGGTGAGGTGGCCCTTAGGATCTGGCCCTTGGAGGATGGCTTGGGGGTGGAGGACAGCCTGGGGCCACCAGATGGGTAGAGTAAAGCAGCATGTGCCAGAGATGGGCGTGTGGCTGTGTGCGTGGAGAATGCCAGCTCAGGAAGCCTGCACTTGCTTCTGTGGGAGGTTGTAAGGCAAGGGAGCGCGTCGCCCAGATGAGCTAGGAAGCCTCAGGAGCAAATTTCTTACCTCTTGGAGCCTGTGTCTCTTCTATAAAGAGGTTGATGTGAAACTCTAAGGCTATGATGCGGAAAGAATATTCCTGATAGGAGTATTCACGGTTATGCTCTGCTGCTGGGTTATTACCTCAATTAGCCTGTGCCTTTAGGTCCTTTTTAGGACCTAGGCTTTCCCATCTGTAAGATGAGGTGATTGGATAAGAGAAGTGTTCTTAAATTTTCTTGGTCCTGGATTCCTTTTTGAGAATCTGATGACAGCTGTGGGCCTTCCTCATAGACAAATGCTTCTCTATGCACAACATCTGCATTCCACTTTGGGGGTTCATGGACCCCGTGTGCAGTCAGGGACCTCCCAGGTGCAGATCCCTATGCTAGAGGCTATGGGCCCTCACACTGCAGTTGGCTCCGGGTTCGCTCTGATTTGTCTGACATTCCCCTGCCTGGATGCCTCCTGCCCATGCAGCCCCTTCCCTTGCTCAAAGCCTGCTGCTGCCTCTGCAAGCCATTCCAGGCCTCCCAGTTTGGTTAGTATGTCTCTCCTGTCCCTCCCCTCCGAGAAAGTGAGCCAGGACAGTGAAGGCTGCTGTGGGTGGGCTAGACCCTAAACTGTGATACCCTTGTCCTCCAAGAAAGACCTTTTCTCCATATAGTGAAGGAACTGTACTAATGGTCCCCAGCTTTGGCAGCCTTGGAGGGCTCAGTGCCCCCACCCCGTGTCCAGCCTGCTGAGCCCCCTGGGCTCTTCCCCTGCTCCAGGCTGCCTGGGCCCCACTGTAAGCTGCTTAGGGGTTAATTAAGCCCATCTCTGAGCCTGTGATTAAAGGCCTCTCGATCTGGAGCTGCCCAGTAAACCCATTAATAGTGCCTGGCAGGGGTGTAGAGGGGGGAGAATTTGACTTTCCTGCTGTAGGCCACTTGATGGGGGCATGGTGGGGGTACAGTGGGGTCCAGGCAGGGAGTGGAGGCCAGGGCCTGCTTCCTCTGAGGACCCCTGGGGCCCCTGATCCCCTGGGTGTTATGCCCTGGGCTACTTCTGCCTTCCCATATCCAAAGGAAGGAGCACAGGAACTAGCTGCTTAACCTCTAGGATCCTGAGTTTCCTCTTCTGTAAAAAGATGATGTGTGACCCAAGCTATGAGTCTCTTGGCCCTTCCTGCAGGCGGCCCTCTCTGCCCCCACCCTAGGCTGGATTGGCTCCTGGCATCAAAAATCTAATGATGGGCCTGCTTCTTCTCATTTGGTGGCCATTACACTTCATACAGGCCCTATAGGAGAGATAGCTGTGGTCAGGATCACCCGCCTCTGAGGTCAGGGTCACCCTCCCTCTCCCCGCTCCCTTCCCAGGGAGATTCCAGCCTTGGGATCTGCAGGGTGAAGCCAACAATTCTCTTCCCTATGGGTCAACATGGCCACTGTCATTGTGGAGGGGAGATGGTATGAGTGTATTCTTGCAGAGAGACCCAGCTCTACTTCTAGTAAAGTGGAGGGGCCCTTTCCTGAGGGTTGGGGACCGGCTGAGGGATATGTGGGCTATGGCATGGACTGAGTGTTCAGAGAACTTGCCCCAGGAGTCTCCAGACCTGGAGCCCTACCCTCTCTGTCCTCTTTACTTGACTCCCTCTTTTCTTTGGATCACCGCTGGGATGTGGGCCGTTTTGAGGTGGAGCTGTCCCTTTAAATCTCTCCTGCATCCCTGGGTTAATGTCCTGGTGTGTAATCCCTCCTGCTGCCATGGCAACCAGGGGTGCATTTCGACCTGGTGCCACTCCTCAGGGAATGGCTGTCTGGTGGCAGCAGCAGCTGGTGGTGTCCTCATGGTACAGGGTATCAGAGGAATGGAGGCACTGGGCTGGGGTAACTGCCAAGTCCTTTGCTCCTGCCCACCGGGGTCCCTGATGCAAGAATGCACCCTCACCTTTTCCCTTCCAAGATGCCAGACTTGCCTACCAGGCACCATCCCTGACCTAAGGGGAGGAGCTAGTGCGAGATGGGGGAGAGGGGGGGGCCGCTGCTGAGATGAGGGGTCAGACTGTGAGGCTCCCCTCCCAGCCCAGGGTGGTGCCGCTCCCTTCCCCTCCTTTTCCTCCCTGTCCCCCCTACCTCCGCCCCCCATGGCTAGCAGGTAGGGGGAGGCATTTGGGGCTTGAGGTATTTGCCCAATGCCCAAGTGGTGCCCCTGCTCCTGGCCCAGGACTGAGAGTCATTCTTGGGAGCTTCCTTTGATCCCGAGGAGGGCATTGTAAAGGAAACGGCGCCTGGAGAAGGAACGTAGAGGTCTGAGGGCAAGAGGAGGAAGTGGCATGCATGTTTTAGAGGAGAGACTTCCAGAAGGTGGGGGGGGCGGGAACAAGCTGGGGCCAAATCCCCACCCCGCCTTGGGTTTCCCGCCCCTGGACTGTGAGAGGGGGCGTCTCTGAGCACCGCCTCGGTTCTGAAGGGGCAGCGGGGGTTAACCCCCTGCCCCGCAGACCTCCCCGCAGCCGCCCCCTCCTGACCCCCGCTGGTGCGAACACGGGGTGGGGGGATCGGGCCCCGGGAGGACCGGGACTCTCTTTCCCACCGCCCCACTCTCAGCTCCTGTGCCGCCTCCTCCCCACCCGGCTGCTCCAGGCGGGGCTTTGGCCAATCAGCAAGGCGGTCAGGGAGACTGAGCCTTGCTATTGGCTGATCCTGCAGAGGGCGCTCCCCGAGTCCCGCCTCCTGGAGCGCTGCCCTTCTCGGGCTGGCAAGGCAGCGGCAGCTGCGTGGAGGCTACTTCAGGAGCCCCGGAACCGGGGGTGGGGGGCCACCATGGCGGGCAGCCCAGGCAGCGGGGCCTCCTTGGAGGGTGTATCCCTGGGCTCTTCTGAGGAAGCTGATCTCCGGAGGGAAGGTAGGGAAAGGCGGGGTGGGGAGGCTGGGGGCGGGGCGGGGGGAAAGCTGGCCCCTTCATCTACCCTCCTTCCTCGGGGTTTGGGCATCTGGAGAGGGTGCCCCGGGAGCGGGCCCTCGGGAGCCTAAGGGAGCGGGCCTGGGCAGAGGGCACTAACTCCCCCCGGGCTCTGTCCTCCTCCAAGGCTGACAGGCTTGTGAGTCTGTAGGTGAGGATGGTTGGGGAGGGTGGATCCCAGGATACCCTGGCAGAGTGGGAAGGGTCCCTGCCCTGGCTTCTTTCCGAGGCCACTAAGGGCCTTGCAGGTGTCTGATCAATACCAAGCCCAGGCCTGGGCAGGAGGGGTCTAGAGGGCAGGCTTAGATGTTGTTTCTGGAGAAGGTGGGGAGGAGGAGGGGAAGAGGGGATCCCTAAGCCATGTCTGCTTCTCCAGTTTCAGTGCCCCCTCCTCCCCATCCCTATTCCCTCCGGGAGGAGGGGGCACTGACAAGAGTAGTGAGAGGAGCCAGGGACTGTACCCAGGCCCCCTCCACGGCTCGAGCGCTGTTATGTAGATGCAGGCGTGGGTGGTTGGGTGGCAGAGTAATGATACCTCCTGCCCATCTCTGCCCCCAACTGGGCACACTCTGCTCCTCCCTTCCTCCCCCCAGAACCTGCCACAGCCAGGAGCTCCCACCTCTGTGGGTGGGTACAGACAAGCCCTACCTCAGACCTCAGCAGCCACTGCTGTAGCCCAGTGTCAGGTGTTCTCACGTCCTTGGGTATGTCCCATGCCAGGCTGAGAGGTTGCTGATCCTTGGGCTGACTTGGTCTAACCTCTGCCCTTTGGTGCCCACAGCACCCCAGGGTGCCTGTCTCCCCAGCTCCTGTCAATGTTCTGGGCCGCATCTTTGGCTTCCTATGATCTATAGTAACTTCTCAATGATAATAGATCACTCTCTGTCAGAGCTGAAGGGCCTGTAGACCCTGTCCAGTTCCATTCACCCGTTTTACAGGAGGGAAAGACTGAGGCCAATGAGGGACCGTGACTTTTGGAAAATCGCACGGAATTAGTGGGGCTATTTGTACTCTGGCCTCCTGCATGGCTGCCTGCTTGATTACACTCAGGGACGCGCTCCAAGTACTCTCTCTCCTATCCCTGAGCCCCCTAGGTGCAGGTGGCTGAGTCCTGGGACTTCAGCCCATCCAGAGATCAAGCGAGGAGTCTGTGGCTCTCTGGTTCAGGGCAGAACCTGGAACCTGACAACTGTTTCCCTTTCTCCCCTCCTCCCACCTCAGAGTCCATTTCCTGCTCCCTAGACCCTCCCACCTGGTCAGGTTGGCATTACCTAGGGCCTAGAGGACAGGTCAAGGAAACTGTCCCCCTCCCTCACCCCTAGACCCCTGCCCCAGGCATTCAGGGGCCGGGAGTGCCCGTGCTGGGCAGGGGGGAGGTGCTGCTGGAGGGGGGTCGTCTTCTGTGGGACACGGGGTAGGAGGGGTGGGATGGCTCTGGTGTGTTTTGGTCTCCTGTGCCCAGCTGGTTCCTGTGTCTCACTGCCCGCCCCTTTTCCCCAGCCATGCAGCAAGTCCTGGACAACCTCGGATCGCTCCCCAATGCCACGGGGGCTGCAGAACTGGACCTGATCTTTCTTCGAGGCATTATGGAAAGTCCCATAGTGAGATCCCTGGCCAAGGTACAGTGCTCCAGGGAGGTGGGCCTAGGGAGTTTATGGGGTGTTGGCCATAGGGTGCCCAGGAACGGGGCATGTGGCCCAGAATACCCGTGGAGGGGCTCTGCATGAATATCCGTGCCCAAGTGATGAGTCTTCATGACTGCAGGTGGCTGGCTGTCCCGTGCCTGGCCGGTGGGAGTGTGGACAAGCCCATGAGGATGCGTGTGACTGCCAGCTGGTGGGGGGTGGGACTGGTGCCTGTGCATTGGACTCTCCACGAGTTCGTCCTGCCTGTCCCCTCTGCCTTTGGACATTTTGTGCAGATGTCTTTTTAAGGTCACCTGCCATGCTTCAGGTGGGCGAGAAACTCACTAAGAGAGAAAGTTATTAAACAATTTGGTAATGGCCATGGTAGAGGCAGATGCAATAGGTGTTTTAGGAACGTAAAGGACAGATGCCTAACCTGGTCTGGGGTAGCCAGGGAAGGCTTCCTGGAAGAAGGGCCGCTTGAGCTGAGTCTGGAAGCCTGAGGAGGAGGGGGAGGGCATTTGGGGCCAAGGGAAGAGCTTGAGCAGAAACAGAGGTGAGAAAAAGCCAGAAGTCTGGGGGGCGTGAAGCTGGAGCTTCAGGTATGAGACAGGGAGTGTAAGCTGCAGACATGCTCACAGGTTGTGGAGGGCACTGGGGGCTGTGCTGGGGGCTTGGGCCTTGTCCTGTGATGTCCTGTGAGTGACGTGGAAACTTTCGTGGGTTTTAAGCAGGGGCGTGATGATGGGACATGGACGTTTTAGGAGCATCCCTCTGGCAGCCACATGGAGGATGGTTGGAGGGTCATGGCTGGCGCTGGAAAGGCCAGAGTTGGGGATGACCCTGAACTAGACCTGTGGTAAACCTAGGGCTTGAGGGAGGGGAGGATGAAAGAAGTATTTAGGAAGTGAATTGGCAATGCTTGATGTTTGGGTGTGGAAGGTGAGGGGTGGGCGTAGCAAGGCGCTCAGGATTCTGTACAAGGGAAGTAAGAGGCTGATGCCACCATCAGCTCAGAGGCAGGGTTGGGGGGGTGGGAGTGGGGTAGAAGGGCGCCCCCTTTCCTGGGGGTAGAGGCAGTGGAGCTCCAGGGAATCATGTCTACTTGCTCAGATTTTTCAGAGAAGGGGGGAAGTTGTCTGCTGGAAATTAGGGATCAGGGTTGAACCAGTGGATTTGGAAATGAAGACTCGACTAATCGCTGAAGGGAGGGGAGAGGGACGCCACCAAAGCCAGGGAGCAGGATGGACAGAGCCCCAGACTGGCCGTGGCAGGTGCCTGACTTTCTGGGGTGGGGATGATTTAGTCCCGGGATGCCGGGAGTAAAGGGGGTGGCTTTGGTCCAGGTCTTGTGCTGGGTGTGGGCCGTGGAGGCTGAGATGCCAGGATGGTGTGAAGGGGACAGGGGAGAGGAAGTGTCTCAGAGTATCACCTCTGGGGCCCGGGACTGGGAGGGACAGGGAAGGGGACCAGGAGGAGACAGAGAGGCAGGAAGAAAATGGAGGTGAAGGCCTGGGGGCCCTAGAGAGAGTGGATAACTGTAAGAGAAGGCAGAGGTCAGAGAGAGAGGGAGGTGGGAGGTTTCCAAGGAGGACAGCTTGGGGTGGGGGGGTGACATGACAATTTAGGGTGTGGCTGCAGTGGACGGGGAGGTCAGCAATGTTCAAGAGGCCCAGAAATGGAAGGTTTGCATGTGGGGTGGCGTTGGAATCTAGGGTACAGTGGGCATCGGGGTGGGAGAAGACCGAGGCAGGCTCAGGGTCTCCGGGAATGGTGGTGGGGTGACCAGGAAGTTGGCGATGATGGTGATGAGACAGCGGGAGAGGGTAGCCAGGTGGCAGCTTTTCCACAGGGTAGGGATGGGGACTCTGTCACAGGACAGCTGTGGCCAGCTCGGGCATGGGGTGTGGAGGGGGAGCAGGCCCCGCCGGAAGGAGAGAGCTGCGCAGGGGACGCTGTGTCCTGGGGACACAGCCTGGTCATGGGGAGCGTTCCATGTGTGGAATGGCTGAAGCCCCGGGGAGGTTGCTAATGGCAGAGGGTGAAAGTGGAATGTTCTTGGGAGGAGAAACCTGAGCAGACTGGGGTGGGAGGGGGGGATTAGAGAAAGGCAGAACGCTTTCCATTCAGTGGTCAAGGATTGTATTTATGGATTAAAAATAAAAACAAGGAATCGAGCATGTTTCAAGCAAAGAGAGTGTGAGCTCGAACAGGGCAGGCGTGTCTGTCTGTGTCCTGGGGGCCGAGAACAGTGCCCTGCACACAGTAGGTGCTCACGGAATATTTGCTCAATGAATGAATACAAACAGTATAGGAAAAAAACCTAAGAGCCCTCTGAGTATCACCTCCAGGATGGGGATGCTGGCCTCAGTGTCTTGCATTCTTGCTATGCCTTTGTAAGAAAGAAGAAGTGTGATGCAGCTGGTGCCCCTCCTTGGTCCCACTTCCCCGGCTTTCCCTCCCCTTAGGTGACCACTGGCTTGCGGTTGATGATGTCCTACCCCTGAATGTTTGCCTATCTTGCCTATGGATGTGTTTAGATGTACACGATCCGCCCCTAGCCTATGGGATTTTAAACTTTCCTTAATGGAATTAGATAGCGCCAGCCGCTTAGGTTTGTGAGATTTCTAGTTCATATAAGTAATATGATTATTGGCATAAGTATAGACGTAGCTACAGATAGATTCATTTTATTTTATTTTTTTAAAAGATTATTTATTTATTTATTTGACGGAGAGAGCGAGTACAAGCAGGGGGAGTGGCAGGCAGAGGGAGAGGGAGAAGCAGACTCCTTGCTGAGCAGGGAGCCCGACGCGGGGCTTGATCCCAGGACCCTGGGACCACGACCTGAGCCAAAGGCAGACGCTTAACTGACTGAGCCACCCAGGCGCCCCGGAGAGATTCATTTTAACTGTTGTGTGCTGTGCCAGTATACGAAATAGAGCCCGGTGTATTTATTTATTGGTTCTCCTACTGAGAGACAGGTACGTTGTTGATTTTCCACTCTTCAGGATGGCGCTGCGGGGAGCGTCCTCGAATTCCTCTGCTTCTGCGCATGTGCGAAGGTCTCTCTAGGGTGGACACTTGGCAGTGGCATTGCTGAATATGCACATTTTGACCCTCCACACCTGTAACCTGCCAAAGCTGATTTCAGAGTAGGATTTATTAGACCACGTCACCTCTGGGTCACGTTAGCAGTTGCTTCTACAGTGAGACAGATAATGAAAGAGGGGGCTTTCAGGATGGCAGAATCTCGGGGTTAGAGGGCCCCCTCCAAAGCATGATTGCCCTCGATAGTGTTCTTCTTCAGTGTCTTGGTCTGATCCACCCAACAGCTCTCCAGTGAGGGGATTGCTGCCTGGATGACTGTCACTCACTCAGTCATCCATCTTCAGTTCGACGGATATCTACGGCATGCTCACCGAGTACCAGACGTGGTGCTGGGGCTGTGGGAATGAGCTGTCAGAGAGCTTGTTCTCCGGATGGAGCCCAACTCTGTTGCCCTGGGACCTCACGGCACAGCCTAACTGAGAAGTTACTGATGAGCTAGTTCAGACTGTAAACATAAACTCCCTTCTCCAGAATTGTTCTTGGGGATAAGCTGGTCAGAATTGCCTCCCAGGAGATTCCCAGGATGGTTCCAGATGCATAAAGCACAATAGAAGGTAGTGTGGACCTTTCTTCAACACTGAGACTCCCAGTGAGAGGCTGGTGGCCTAGGGGGACCCTGTGACTTCTCTCCATTGAGCTGTGAGACGAGCAAGAAGTGCATCTCTGTAAACGCCCCTCTGAGCTCAGTAAGAATCCCTCCCATCCCTGTACGTGTGCCCCTTTGCAGTGGAACTTTGTCACTCCCTCATCAAAAGGTAGAGTTTCTCCATTCTTCAGTCTAGGCTTGACCACATGACTTGCTTTGGACGATGGGACCTGCTTTTTACTCCTCATCGATTTTAATGATTATGTGTACAGAGATGCATTTCTTTCTTTTTTTTTTTTTTTAAGATTTTATTTATTTATTTGACAGAGAGCACAAGTAGGCAGAGTGGTAGACAGAGGGAGAGGGAGAAGCAGGCTCCCTGCTGAGCAGGGAGCCCAATGTGGGGCTCGATCCCAGGACCCTGGGATCATGACCTGAGCTGAAGGCAGA